ATTTTTGAATGAGTTAATAAATGAATGAGTAAAAAATTAACTCAAACCATCTCCAATTTCTGTTAATGTAATCAACAGAAATATATTGTTACAGACAATGTAAGTAGTGGATATTCTTAGTCAATTACTGTATCATTCCTGCTATCAAGAAGCTTACATAGAAGCTTGGTCAGGAGAGCAAACTATTACAAAATGAGATTAGGGTGCAGTGAGGGCGAAACATGCGTGCTCTTGTACATAACTGACTGGGAGCAGTTCAGTACCTGTACTTGGCCAAGAGCTGAGCCACTGACTAACCTCAGTGAATTCACTGATGAGGACTAAGGGACTTTGCTATATCATTCGTTTACTCAAAAGATGCATGCCACAAAATGACACCAGACTTGGAAGTAATTTCACGTTTCTCAGGAATAAAAACGAAGCTTACAATCATCCAAAGTCTATTATAATTTAATATTTGAATGAACCATAAAGATTTTTTAGTTATGATTAACTGGACTGACGTTTTGATTATGTTTTGAAAATAAAATATTCAGTACACCTCTCAGAAAAGCAACACTTTTCTTGAGGACACAGGAAAATTTGACACTTCAATGTAGGGTATCTATAGTTTTTGAATATGTAATTTCTTATATTTAAGAGACATAAAAATACAAATAGCACAGCATATCTGTTACTTTAAGTTATCTGGTTATTGTCTTTCAACATATCATGCCATTGGCTTATAGTCAGTGTATTTTGTTAAGCATTTAAAACTTTTATATATATTCCTCACTCTGAATAGACTTGCATAGATTAAAAACAATAGGATATTTGCTGTCAAAATTTTGAAAACACAGTGAGGACCTTAAGAGATATCCAGACATAAAATACATTAAAATTCAGATATAAAAACAAATGAATGTTTACAGTGCCCCTAATTGCCTCCTCTAGCAACGTACAAAATGTTGGCATTTGATATAGACTGTATTTCTTAAAGGCAGTAAACTATAAATTAAATGGACATCTCAAATTTATAAATATATAAATTTATTGATTTAAATCAATTTTCAATGTCAGCTCAATTAATTTATGGGCAAATACATGAAATATGCAATCAGAATGTGGGCCTAAGGCCACACCTATACAGAATAGTTGCCCAATGGCAGAGATAGGAGTGTCGAATGTGTATTTTAAGAAGCCAATAGATTGGACAAGCTGCTTTTGACAATAATTGCTTTAAAGACCCTGCAGCAAATACCAGCAGAGTTGGTTTGAAATTTAGCATGTCTTTCATTTTGAACATGGTCCCTAAAGGTTTTTGCACATGTCACAGTATCTACAAACGCAATTTGTTTCAGGTTGAATTTCCGTGATTAACATTCTCCTGCACTGTTTTGACCAGAAAAGTCCCTTTCACCGAACCACACAACTTAGTGTTCCTATCAGGAAATGAAGATTAAAATAAAATGTTTTCTAGGTGTTGCTTTCTTGTTTTGCTCTCTAAATGAAACACCTTTAAGGACTATGTAAATAAACTATGAAAATAGAAGGTTACAAATATAGCTCTTAGGGATTACAGAAGTCAGTTAATTAAGGTTTATTGCAAAGATTTCTAATTATGAGAGGCGTAGTCTTAAATCTATAATCTTACTTATCCAACTGGCATCAGAATAATCAAGGAATGTTTCACATAACTACAGCTAAGTGGTTCTAAGTCATTTGGAAATTTTTTAAACATTTGTTTAATTGTAAACAGCAAACAGTTAAGTCAAGGTTGTTTAATGTGGTTTCCTTAACATTTCTTAACTATGAGAAAAGATTACAGGAAAGAAGAGGCAATTCAGCACAAAATTCTTCTTTATCTGCATGTTCCACACCGTACGTGCACAGAGCAGTAAAAGTATAATTAATATAACAATTTATATCTTTTGGTCTCTGATATTTTATTTCCTTACTCACAAAAGAGTCATTTCATTAACAATATTATTACGATGATGATTTTCTTTACCTTACTTGTGGCTCTAATAATATATCAGCATTTTCTGATAAATGCTGATTGTCTAATTTGCCTTGGACAATTTGCAGATGCACCCACTCATTTCTCCAATTTTTAGGTTAAATCTCCAGTTCCTTCCTCAAATCCTTCTGTGACTCTGTAACAGACAAACTATTTAACATATGCTCTTGATACATTACTCATCAGTGTATAATTCCTCAACTGCTCAACCTTTTCTTCATTCCTTCTACTCAGAATTCTTTCTTGTTTCCCAATCTCATTTTGCCTGGTCACATTCTAGTCATCTCTCAGGAGAGAACTTAATTTAAACGGTGTTTCCTCAGGAAGGGCAGCCCTCATCTTCCAGACCTGGAGAGTACATGATGTTAGGGCATCCAGAGCTTCTCCGCTTTGTAGGACTTAACTCCAGTACTGATTACATACTTGTCAAGTAACCTGTGTACAATCTGCCTCCCCACCAGAATGTAAGGTTTATAAGGGCTCACTCACCATTGTTCATACATTGAATAAATTAAAGGTTTATGAGTAGCACATATTGCTTGTACACTTTATTGCAAAAACAATAATATGTAACCTATAGATAATGAAACAAATAAATTACTGTGGTCCCTTCAGTCCAATGAAACTGCAACATGTTATCAGATAACATTGGAAATTTGCCTCTCAGGCACTTTGAAGAGTATTTCCGAAGGTACCCAAGCGAAATGATCAGAAATCCCTCCGTCTGTCTGCAGCAGTGAAAGTATCATCTTTTCAAGGTGGTCAGTACAATGACAGCTGAGATCTGGTTCTTGGACATTCCAGTTTCTAAAAGATTCTTCTTTACCCAGCACCAGGATCTGACCCCTTTTGATATGAAAAGAGTGACTCTATGTCCATAGAGGAGGTATTTCATAATGTTACCCCTGCTTGGAGTATTTTCATTTTTAAAGATGTGAATCTCTAGTGTCAGAATTTCAGGCACAAGGAGAGAGGGGCGTCTTGGTGTCTCTAAAAATGATGACATGATGATAGTCACTCATGCATGTAAGGCTGGTCATAATATTTTATTAAGTATACATGTAGCATATTTTAGTTCGGTTTGGGACCTTTATATATTTTCCAAATAAAATTTAAATATATAGATTTATTACTAATCATATCTGAAAAGGTCAAATTAAATTAGCAATAATTGTTTCTTCAACAAAGATAAACCTATTAGGCAAGATTCCTTAATGATATTACCCATCCAAAATATATAGTCTTGATCTATGGGTACTATATCTTATTCCATGCTTAATATATCTTCAGTCCTTATATCAACACTGTTAATGAATTCTCTCATTCTATCCTTTTGCTAAGGAGAAAAGTAGATTAAATAAATTTCTAATCCTAGAGTGAAAGACTACCATATGTATGTATGAAATTATGAAGCATATTAACACATATATTTTATAGAGATTTTTAGTAGATAGTAGCAAAAATGCCTTAGAAATAATCTGCTAACAAAATACAAAGATGGTGATTGTGTAATACTATTTGTGTTTTCTTTATTTATTAGATGCATTGCTGAAGACATCAGCAAAGTGAACTTACGTGTAACATTTTGAATAAAAGTCACATCAATTTCAAATACATTTCAGTAGAATATTAAAGTTTTCTCCCTGCACATTTTACAGGTTTAGCAATGTTTTTAACTTTGTATTTTCCAATAATTATAGATTCACAGAAATTTGCAAAAAAATGTATAGTGAGGTTCCATGTATCCTTTACCCAACCCTTCCCAGTGTTAACTACCTGCATAACTGTAGTAGAATATCAAAACCAGGAAACTGGCATTGATAAAATCCATACAGGACTCCTGTATTCGTGTATGTGTGTGCAATTTATCACCTATGGAGCTTCATGTAACTACCACCACAAGTAAGAAACAACCGTATTACTATTACAAAGCTTCCTCCTGCTACCCATTCACAGCCAAATCTCTCTATCCCTAGTCCCTACTCCCTGGTCACCACTAATCCATTCTCCATATTTATTATTGTGTTACTTCAAGAATGTTATACAAGTGAATCATACAGTATGTCAACATTTAAAATTGGCATTCACACTCACCATTGTGCCCATAGAGTTAATCCAAGAGCTTGTATTAATTGCTCTTTTTTATTGCCTAGTTCTATTCCAACACTTTCAATATACTTTTATTTAAACTGTCATTAATGTCACTTTTGGTGTATGTTATGGACTTTTATCTTTACAAATGTGTTTCATACATGTTCATGTACTTTTATTACATAAGATAATCATTGTGTATTCACATAATTTATGAGCACTTCTTGAAGAGAGTTTTTAAAGTCTCCAGAGCTTTGCCTGTATCATGCTCTGCAATAAATTATGTTATGGAAGAATTAAAGAGAATATATACTTATAAAATGCCATAGGAATATTCATACCTAATTATGTTGTAGCAAAAATCAATAGCATTATAAAGGGAATATTTAACTGAAAGAAATTGGATTTTTTTTTAAAAGGCAGTTTAGTCACTTTTTCCAAACTGTACCTAAACGATAGCACTGGGACATATTCCTGGATCATGGTTAAGTATGCTGAGTAAATCTTTTCACAATACAGACATGAGTTATAATGAACATAAATTCTACTTTTTTTTGTTATGGACAAAATGGCAGCATAAGTCATTTCTTAATTTGAATTCATTTAACAACATCTCATTTATGTCTAATACTTACTGGTAAGCAACATGAGTTGACTCATTAAGATAATTTTGTATATGGCTATATAAAAAACATAAACTCACAGAAAACAGAGAGAAGCATTGTATGTAATTAACCAAACTACTAAAAAGTGATATCGAAAACATCTTTACCTTAGGAAACAACCAGGAAATAAATGCTGTAATGTATAGAGTATACAATTATACATCAGTAAAGATAAGCCTATGAAAAGTATTATGTATCAAAGGGGAATTATGGGTCTGTTTTGAAAAAACAGCGGTAGAACTTACCGTCTTGATCTGTGGTCACTGTAATAGCTGTGAATGGCTTGGGAGAAAAACTCAACTCAGAAACTCCATTCACGGCTTCTATTTCAAAGGTGTAATTCACATGAGACACAAAGTCAAGAACTATCACGGAACTGTTGACCAGGCCCGTGTGCCTCGGGATGAAGCGGAGTCCTCCACCACAGTCCTCGCACTGGCTGGTGTCTGAGCCACACTTCTTACAGATCACACTGTACGTGAGGTCTTTTCTCCCTCCCGTGTCACTTGGTGGGCTCCATTCCAAAATAAGGGCCGTTTCATTGATGTTAAAAACCACATTCCTAGGAGCTGATGGTGGCCCTAGAGAAAAGCAATTAAAAAACAAATGTACATGTATAGGACAATAAAATTATGGTGCCAACTTGAAAACTTCATCAATAAATACTTGTTGGTCTATTATATTAGTTTGAGCTCTTTCTTCTGATTGGAACGATAAAAAATACACATGATTAAAAACATCTGACAAAGTCCAGTAAGAAAGGAGTCCTTAGGGGTGAAGATAGTCTATAATCTAACTTTTTGATATATGAATTTCAATATTTAACATAAGAAGCTGTAGACCTCCAAGAGATATGGTAATTACCCTCTTTTAAATTTGGTGAGGGAAAATATTTACTAATCAAACATCATTTTAAATTATGTTATAGTTTTAATTACATCTTAATAATTACTTCACCATTTTTAAAATTTGAAAAAATAATATCATACATGTGTTATAACAATATGTGTATATTATTATTATATGAATATATATGTGTATACATTCTGTTGTGTTTAGTTTTTCTGGCTTCATACTATACTTGGTATACAGATAAAACTACCATTAATTACCTTCAACAATCCCTGTATCCATTTCTTACAGGTTGAAAATAAATGGCCACAGCCCTGGCAGGTATGGCTTGGTTGGTTGGGCCTAATCCTGCAAATCTGAAGGTTGTGGGTTTGGTTCCTGGTCAGGGCATGTGCCTGGGCTGTGGGTTTTGTACACACGAAGATGTCTATGAAAGGCAACCAATCAATGTTGCTCTCTCACATCAGTGTTTTTATCCCTCTTTCTCCCTCCCTTCCCTTCTCTCTAAAATCAATAAATAAGTCTTTGGGTGAGGATTAGAAATAAAATAAAATAAAATAAAATAAAATAAAATAAAATAAAATAAAATAAAATAAAATAAAATAAAATAAAAACATAACATAAGATAAAACGAAATAAATTTAGGGTGAATAGACAGGTTAGGAAAAGAGGAAGAGAAAAGGAAACTGGAAACATGAGGAAGGTTTTTATTAGGGCCTTGCTAATTTCATGGGATAAAAGCATTATTTGAAAAATGTAAAATGTACATAAAATATGGTGACTAGCCTTTTATGTAGGCTAACTCTGTTAAGCACAGGTGTCTTTTTAAAAGATGATGGAGAGCCCTGGCTGGTACAGCTCAGTGGATTGGGTGTGGGCCTGGCAACCAGAGGATTGCTGGTTCTATTCCAGCTCAGGGTACGTGCCTGGGTTGCAGGCTAGGTCCTGGTATGGGATGATTGACAGGCAACTACACATTGATGTTTCTCTCCCTCTCTTTTTCCTTCCCTTCCTTTCTTTCCAAAAATAAATAAATAAAACCATAAAAAAAACTCTTAAAAAAAGCTGATAAGGAGACCCACACGATCCTCATATTTGTTGCCAAGACTGCATTAACCAAGTGGGTCACAGGAGTTGATGAGCATATTCCTACAGCATTCTCTGAAAACTGGTTTTCCATACGATCCCACCACACAGAATACTTGAACGCTTTAACTATTCCAGTCTTTTTAAAAAATTGTGTCAATGATCTTTCATACATGTCTGAGTTCTTCAAACTTCAGTTTGATATAAGTATTGAACAAATATTAATTGAAAGTCTCCTGGTTGCCAGCAACTGCACTATGTATTGTATGTGAAATAAAGCATCTTTCCTGGAAGAGACTATGCTCATAATACATACTCTGAAAATAATTCACTACATAAATAGCTAATGAAATATCATTTCTGTTCACTTTTAGAAGGCTTACATGTATTTATAAATCTGTAGCAACTTTTAAAATTTATGCTCCTAAGAAAATTTGCTTAGAAGGTGGGAAAGAATTTCTCTGCAACATTTTCTCCTCATAAAAAAGTAGTTTTAATATAAGCTTCTTCTGGATTATACTCATTCATTCACTGAATAAACTTTTTAATGACTTTCATGTGTGCCAGATAGTCTGCAAGGTCTTGGATTTATAGTGTGAATATGATAGATATTTCTGCTTTTTTGCTATTTAATTTTAGTTGAATGGCTAGATAAACTCACACATAAACAGAATAATAAAAATATTGACTTTTTCTGTCTGACTTATTTCTCTTAGCATGATATTCTCAAGATCTATCCATATCACAAGTGGCAGTGTTTCACTTTTTCTTATAGCTGAGTAGTGTTCTATTTTATATATATACCACATCTTTATCCATTCGTCTGTGCAAGGATACTTTAATTGTTTCCATTTCTTGGCCATGATGAAGCAATGTTTTTTTAAGAAGAGCATTCTGGCTGCTGGGTAGGGAATGGTCTGCATGAAGACAGGGGACCCCTTAGTGAGATCTGTTTATGTGGTGTCAGAGTAGCTGAACATTAGTCATAAATCTACATGACCGTATCTTGGATTTGAGATATTAAGTAATGTTATGATATACTTTCCTTTTTCTTCTTGCTGCATCCCGAAATTAGCAATCAAAAGAATAGGGTCCTTAGCTATCTCTATTATATCACCTAAAGGTAGACCTAGAAATGAAATGGTTAGTTTTTTTTAAAAGGTTTCTGCGTATGTTGCTTTATGCCATTTCACATTCCAGAGAGTTGCAGGAATGTCTGAGTTCAGAAAGGAAGATGTGGAAGGGATTACACACTAGAGCACAGGGACAAGTGTAGCTTCTCCTAGACTTATGCCTGGCAGATAAAGATACATTATCATTACTGTAATAATGTCTTCCTACAGAATGACATATTAATATTATTGCTCTTTTGTCTTATTTATAATGGAAACCATGAATTATTATTCACTTATATTTCCATGAATAGGAGAATGCTATCAATTACGTTATGGGTGTCTGCAAGTATATAACTGTCCGCTTGGAGATACTTAAAAGGAAAAGAAAGGCAGACACCCTTCTTACTCAAGGGCTCTCATATCAATTTGCATGACAATTAAATAGCTTTTTAATTGCTGTTAAATTATGCCAGCTAAACTGTGATTTCATGCAAATATTAAGCTGTAATGGCATGCAGTGAATCATTTACTAAGATTTAAAACTTGGAACAAAGAGAGACAATTAATTCTAATCCTCAGATTCAACTAAATTATGTGTCACTGGGCTTTTATTAATGTGGCCTGATTGCTTTGTTATCATTTATAAACTATACAAAGATTATGTGACACATTGAGGGGAAAATCCCCTAGGACCAATAACCCTTTTGGAGACATCTGTATTGAAAATTCTCAGGGATTTCCTTCTGTTGATTTTGTATTTCTCTAAAGAAAACAAATAAATCACATGGAAGAAAACAATCTCCACACTTTTATCTCCAGACTGACTTGATAGGAAAAGGGTAATTATTCTGATTGGCAAATAGCTGTTTTCCAAGCTCATCATATAATAAACCTTACATAAAAACTACTATTTTATCTCTATTAGTATATTAGAAAATATATTTTCAATCATTTTCCTTTTTTTTTTGCTTCAATTTAGATTTCCCCCAGTATACTTTTAAAGAATGAAGGAGTAGCGCTCTAATAGTGAAGTAATGAGAAGATTGTCTCTTTCTTTCCCTGAAAAGAATTTGGGCCTGTAGCTTCCACCTTCCTCTTAGATTAGAAGGCAGATGGACTATGCTTTTGTTTTGTTTTATTTCATTTTAAGTATTTTTCCATGTAAAATGTTTTTAAACAGATGGGTCATTCCTAAACTATGCCCTGTGCAATACCTTTAGTCCCCTGGGATATTACACAAAATAAATGAGCTCAGTGATCAAATTAAGATTCCTCTGGTAGGTTCATGCTGTAACAAAAGTAAAACAATTTGCTTCAATTTGATGAAGCCACCATTTTCCAAACTTTTGCTCATAGAATCTTTTTCTTCAAGAAACATCTGGAGAGACAGGGACTTCCGCCAAGATGGAGGCACAGGTGGATATCCGTGCCTTCTCACACAACCAAGTTTAGAGACAACTAAATATTAGCAACAGAAAACACAGTCAGAACACAGAAAATTGAACTTTTTGGAAGTCTGTTAACAACAAATTCTTCAGTCTGACCGGTAAGGGGCGAAACCAGCAGCTGGTGGAGCAGGGTTGCGCAGGAAAACTCGGTCAGACGGACTCAGGTGCGCGGAATCCAGGCGCAGGGTTGGACCTAGTGAGCGACCAAGCGAGCGACCACGGGGAAACAGCGAGGGAGCAGGGCTGCGAGTTGACTGTGGTCGCGCATTTGTGCGCGGATAGACAAGCGAGGGAGTGGGTGACTGGACGGAGACCCAGCGGTCCCCGCTGCAAGCGTCAGGGAGGGCACCGCCATTTCCCTGCTCTGACCACGCCCCCACATATAGCGTCACAACCCAGCGACCTGGGAGTCCAAGGCTCCGTTCCTCACACTTAAAGGGCCAGAACACACCAAAAATGGCTCAAGAAGATCTCAAAGCCTCAGAGCCTATAAATCTAAGCGATGAAGAAATAGCAAAATTCTCAGACGCACAGTTTAAAACACTGGTGATCAGGATCCTCACTGAACTGGTTGATTATAGCCACAAATTAGACAAATATATGAAGGCGAAACTAATTGAAATGAATGGAATTGCACAGGAAACCAATAGCAATGAAAAGGAAACTGGGACTCAAATCAATGGAGTGGACCAGAAGAAAGCAAATAATGGCCAAACAGAAAAGAGTCAAGAAGCAAGAATTCAAAGAAATGAGGAGAGTCTTAGGAACCTCCAGGACATCTTTAAACGCTCCAACATCCAAATTATAGGGGTACCAGAAGGGGGAAAGGAACAGCCACCAGTGGAAAACTTATTTGAACAAATAATAAAGGAGAATTTCCCCAATCTGGCAAAGAAAATAGACTTCCAGGATATCCAGGAAGCTCAGAGAGTCCCAAAGAAGGTGGACCCAAGACGGAACACACCAAGGCACATCATAATTGCATTAGCCAAAATTAAAATGAAGGAGAGAATTCTAGAAGCAGCAAGAGCTAAGGGGACAGTCACCTACAAAGGAGTCCCCATCAGACTGTCAGCAGAT